TGTTTGGCCCCTCTGACGCCATGTTTTCCTTTGCCTTTTCCCAGCACCATCTTTGTTCTTTAGCAGAGTCTGAGCTGAAGGCTCTGGACCTCAACCCACTGGATCCTAGAATCTAGACTAGGTCCTGGGAATGTGTGATGGGTAATTTTTTTTCTGTGTCTACTTGGATGGGCCAAGGTGCCCAGATCAAACATTATTCTGGGGAGGTGTTTTGAGATGTGTTTCACATTCAAATCTATGGACTTTGAGGTAATATGGGTGGGCCTCCCAATTGGTTGAAGGCCTGAATAGAACAGAAGGCTGACCCCTCCCCACACAAGAGAGAACCTCTGTGTGTCTCCAGCCTGCTGGTCCATCCTGCAGGAACTCATCATTTCATGAGTCAATTCCTTAAAGGAGATCTCTCCTCCTCTCTGTGTCCACATTCTTCTATCCTGTTTCTTGGGATGACCCAGACTCACACCTCTGCCTTCCTAGTGAAGTTCTTGAAAGCAGAAACTCAGCTCTTCTGAGCTCTGTGCTCAGCCTCATGCACCTTCCTGTGCCCTCTGGTCTCCACCTAGATCCCAGTTTCTCACTCAGAGAAAATCTGGCTTTTAACATGAATAAGATACTCATTTGAGATCTATAGTCCATTTCTCTTTGTTTCAAAGAGCTGATTACAATTTTACCCCATCCCACCCACAGCTAAGAGGATTCATGGAGGAACCCTCTGACTGGGGGGAGATGTCAGGGGAAGAAAATCACAGATGGACCTGTCTGGGGTTCTGGAGGAGTCAGGCAGCCTGGGTCAGACAGAAGGCAGCCCCAGTTTGAGTGACTGCAGAGCATGCCACTGAGGGACTCAGCTAATCAAACACTCCCAACAAGCCTGGCATGGAGGTGGGAGCAGACAGGCCCAGGAAGGTAGGTTTGTGTGGGTAAAGACCTGCCTGGCAGTAACCAGGAACAGGTCATGAACCAGGGGGCGTGAAGAGACAGGAGGAGTGGGCCTGACAATTTTTATTATTTCAACTGCCTTTGAGCTCTCTGTTTTTGCCACGCAGTGAAGGGACACGTAAGGTTTCACAAAGCGAAGTGTCAAAAGACAAGAGAACAACAGAGATCATAATTGGCTTTTATTTGCAATTCTGAAATTGAGCAACACCTTGTTCTGTAAAACAGGATCAGTGTTTCCATGAGCCTGTTGGATGGGTGGAGCAGAGAAGGTTGACTTCATAGATAGAAAAGGGCTAAGGAAAGTCTGATTGGTTCAAAGTTGTTGTACTTTTCCTTGTCATCATTAAAGCACAGGGGAATCCTTTGTCATGCTGTCAAAAACTGGCTGGTTTAGGAAATATGACTATTCTCTCTTTCTTGATTTCTTGGACTGTCTAATAAGCATCTCAGTTTCTGCTTGGTGATGGGGAACTTTAGCACCAATGACTCCATTTTGGTTTGGTTTTTTGGGTGTAGTTCAGGAGGAGCTCAGTTTAAACTGATGGACTCTTATAAATATATATTAAACAGAAGCCACTGTTTGATGGTAGGAAATCTTGTCATTAGCCCTTTGACAGCCTAGCACAGGAATATGGGAGAATTGTCTTTCTAGCCCACAGAGTGACCAGAAGTTCCCTGGAGGGACATTGCAGCATCCTGGAGGGCTAGAAGGAGAGACTGTGGTCAATACAGTGGAGGCTCATGCCTGGCATTTAGAGCTCAACCAGATTTTAGAAATGTAGAAAAAATTGTGACCGATTTTGAAATGCAGTGGGTGGGCTGACTGGCACAACCATCTGCCTTTATCTTTGAGTAGGCTATTTTACAAGTCTGGAGAGAGAAAGATGTTTGCTTGTAGGAACCAAGTGGTAAGAATCCCTGTCCATAGGGATACGAATTGTGTCCAGCAGAACATGCCATCACCCTGTGGATATTGAGCAATTTTGCCAAATCTGTGTGTCAGTCAATTTATGTCAGCATTCCTAATCTGATTATAAATAGGTGCAAGTTTGAGTTCTCTTTTGGACTCTTTTATAATATTCACTAAGTCCTCCTTATGAGTTAAATGAAAGTCTTTGAGGTATCATCATTTGACATCTGGATGAGAGAAATGATGTTTACCTTATTTTTAAATTTATCCTTTGAACCTGGCCACTCTCAAAATTGAGACTGCTTCCTCTCACTTAATTTCCTCTACACCAAACAAATCCATAGCATGGATAAAGATAATGTAATAGAGGTTTAACATGCTCACAGAATGGGACCAACTGTGCAAACAAGTAGAATCATTTTCAATTTTTTTCTTTCCTTATCTTAATGGCAGTAGATGAAGAAGGCCCAGAGTTCCTATGCACAGAAACTTGTCCTTCCCCCTCCCTTCATTTAGTTCTGTGGTTCTCAACTTGGTGGCACGTAAGAAGTATTATATAGAATTACATACTTAGGACTGTGAATACTATTCATGAAAGTGATTTAAAGGACTTATTGTGCTTTAAGGAAGGATTATGGTAATGTTGGTAGTATAAAGATTTTTGCCATCCACGAGTTTGAAACTACCAGATTACTTCCTTCTCCCTCAAAATCTGCTTGCACCCTAATACCACAATTGCACTCAGTGTCCAAGTGCCTGGGGTCCTTACACTATCACTTCTTTTTTGGCACTAGGGATTGAACTCAGGGCACTGGATCACTGAGCCACATCCCAACCCTATTTTGTATTTTACTTAAAACTGGGTCTCACTGAATTGCTTAGCACCTCACTTTTTGCTGAGGCTGGCTTTGAACTTGCGATCCTCCTGCCTTAGCCTCCTGAGCTGCTGGGATTGCAGGCGTGCACCACGGCACCTGGCTACTTCTTTTATTTCACATTGCATTTCACTGGGAAGGTAGATCACAGGTGACTGAGGCCTTAACTTATTTTTTAAAAATATTATTGAAGTGAAATTCACATAATATAAAATTAACCATTTTAAAATGTACAGTTAGTTTGGAGAAATTTAGTACATTCATAATATTGTATAGCTCTCATCTCTACCAAGCTCCAAAACATTTTTATTCCCCCAAAAGAAAATCCTGAATCCATTAAGTCATCACTCCCCATTATACCCCTGGCAGCCACCAATGTGCTTTCTGTCTGCGTGCATTCTTCTGTTCTGGATATTTTACGTCAATGGACTCATCCCATATAACCCAACTATCCCCCTTCCAAGTAGGTGTGTACCTGAAATAATTGAAAGCAGTATCAAACAGATACTGGAAAACTAATGTTCACAGAAGCTGAAACAACTCAGTTTTTCCTGGTTTGGGAAAGTTTCCCTCTCTGCCTGCTTCCTTGTGGTAGATAAATCTTCCTTCATCTGAGCCGGCTGGGTAAAGGTCAAAATGATATTGGCAACCGAGGGAAGACAGGAGCAGCGTCCAGTTAGCCCTGTTGGTCTGCTTGCTGATTGAGATGACCCAAGTGACCAGTGACTTCTGTCCTTGGAGGGGTGCTAACAATGACGATTTAAATGTACCCAGACAGGAGAGGTCACTTGAGATATCCTCAGGTGGCTCACTGAATTCCCAGGAAGCTGGGAGTGCCTGCCATGTAAGCCACAGAAATGGGGCCAGGGCAGAGTCCCTTGCCTAGAAGATAAGCGTTGCCTTTAAGTTTATTACATAAGCCAGCTGGATCTCCAGCCGAAGGCACCAGTGTGCCCAAGCGCCTTCCTATGGGTGGGGCTGGGTTCTTGTGGTCATTCTGGTCATTGCCAGTAATGAGTCTGAGGCTGGTGGACCCACTGGAAAGCAGGCCTGCTTCTAAATCTGTTCTCAGCTCATTAGTTGTGAAGCATTTTTATTCCAGCCATCTGTGGGCTTGGTTGGCACTAAAACCCCAGGTTTGCAGATGAAGAAACTGAAACGGAGGCCTATTCCAATGTTTTCTTCCCTGCTCTCACTTCCGGCAATTATTATAAAGTGCACTCATTATCTTTACAATGGTTTGGAGATTAAAGCTTAATTCAGTTTGTTATTTCTATGGCTTTGCCTAGTAACATTTGTACCTGTACCAATGCCACAAGGCTGTGAAGTCAAAGGACTCCTGAAATCACCAGATGCTGTAGCTTGCATCCTCACCTTGGTCAGAGGCAGTTTTCCTGAGAACATTTTAATGGGTCACCAGGGTTTTCCATGGGGACAGCTGGAACTTTCTTAGGAGAAAAGCTGGCCTGCAGTAGAAAAGATCAGGCTCAAATTTTTAAATGCTGTAGTTGGAACAGTTTGTACTTTTGTTGGAAGCAAATGTGGATGGAGCCACCCTCCTCTTTGGGTAAGGTACCCCAATGGACAGTTGGGAGATAAACAGATCTGGGTTCAATTCCTGACTCTGCCAATGATTCATGTGTTACAAGTCCTCCGAACTCCTTAAACTTCAGTGTTCCCAGCTGTGGGGTAGGACAATAGAACCAGAATTACTGTACTACTGTATGAGATAATCTGTGAGATAATTTATGGAAGGCCCTAATACATAATAGGCACCCAAAGATGACAGTATTATTTTTCACTTGATACTAATAGCTGCCTCCAATCTGAGTTTGGCCAAAAATGATCAGGCAATATGGGGGACTTCTTTTAGTCTTATAAGGTGTGGCTTTTGTGACATCAGATCTAATATAATGGTGAGCCTTCCATTCACAGGTAGGTGGGTCACGTAATCATTTTGAGGGTAAGCCAAGTTAAAGCAGTAATTTTAGATCCATAGCTCCTGGAGGGGGGGCAGTGTCCAGAGAAGCTAGAGGGAGGGTAGGTTAGAGAAGGAAAAACAATCTTTTTTCCTATATTGCATTCAATGTTCTTTTGGTTCTATGAGAGTGAGCCAGATACTGTTCTGTCAATCATTCAATAGGGGTCAGCTGAGCGCCTGCTCTGTGGATGAAATTCCACACCCTCCTTCCACACATATTCCTGCCTCTTTACTCTCTGCTGCCATGGGAAGGTCACTATGATGTAATACACTGTTCCCACCCTTAAGAAGAGGAAGGAGCAGGTGGGTCACACCGAGGACAGTGTGAACCAAGAGAAGACCTGAGAGGAGACAGACAGGTTTAGAAAGGAGATGTGAGACTAGAGAATAGAGGAGGCTGGCATCTGATTAGCAAAAATGCCTCCTGCCATGGAACCTGGAATGCTAAAAGCCACCCTGTGGCAGTCTGCCATGCAGGCCAAGGTGGTGGGAGTCTTCCTGAATAATCCTGGCCCAACAACACTCAGGCTTCTTTATCAACAGTGCCTGTGACAGGCTGAGGGGACTCTGGAGAAATGTGGCACTGTCACAAGGAGCCCAGCCAGCCTCCAGAGAGGCACCAGGCCAAGGAATAGACAAAATCGAGGGAGAGGGGAGTTGGTGCCTTCCTGCCGGGCTTGTTCATTATTACAGCTTAGGGAGGAGCAATGTGTACGCTGTGCTGTTTCGGCGCTCACTGCCTGCTCAAAATTGCCCCCTCTTTTTCTTTCTTTTCAGCATTCTTCCCCCTCAATTCCCCAATAGCTCAAGATGAACTCCAACACCAGCAGTGTCCTTATCTTCTCAGGAGGTGAGAAGAGAGTTGCTCATACCCTCTGGGTAATTTGTTTAATTAAAGTTCAGGACATATGTTAGCTCTTGGCATAGGTGAAGAAATGGAAAGAAAATGAGAGGTCAAGTGAATTAATTACCCGGAGCCAGGTCGATAAGCTCTCCTGATTTCTTGTACCCTTTGTTAGTCAAAGAAAGCAATGAAATGGGAAATCCTGACTAGGTGGTCAGTTCTGTGCAGTGGAGCTCATGCAAAAGTGATAGATACCTGGTGGCGTTCAGCATGATGTAGTACACATCAGTTTATATGTTGAATCTCTATTGGATTAAAATGGCAATTTAATTTGTACTGCCTTTGTTGTTTTTGTAATTTAACCAGACCTGCTGCCTCGCTCCACCAGTCACTGGAAAACATGATTCTGAGACTTTGGAAGCAAGTCTCGATGTCACACTCCAATTGTTTTTAGAGCATCAATCATTCAAAAAGAAGAAATTGGTGATCCAGTGAGGTATGGTGTTTGGTGGTGCATTTAATATTATCCACCTACGTCTTTAAACATTCAAGGGACGTGGCCAGGTGAAACAGCACAATATGCCCAAATGGGGTCCTCCCTGCATCCTTTTGGATGGAGTCTGCCCATTCTGAGATTTCTGTATAACCACCAAATCCATTATGATAGATTTTTTTTAATCTTGTGGTGTACTTTTTTGGATGATGTTATTAGTTGTAGTACCATATTGTATTTATAAAAGCCTTTGTTCACTTACTCGTTACACATGTCAAATGTTTGTCACGCAGGGTGTTGCTGTTGGTGCGGAAGGCACAGAGTCACTCCCTTTCCTCTGCTTTAGCCACACTCAGCCTTCTGGTAAACCTGCTCCTTCCTATTCAATCAAGTTACCTGGTGGAAATGGGGCCACTGGACACGAGGCTTTTGCTATTTGTCATCCCTGGGGAAACATTCTGTCCTCTTTCTAATGGATGTAAAAGAAGTTTGTCTTTTTATTGATCGGCTGATCGGCCCAGTTTGGGTCACATGATCATATATAACTCTCTTTATCCTGGGCATTGGCACCCACCTTGGACATGCCTGGATTAAAAGTCCATTCACAGAGGTCAGGAGGCTAGTTCCTCACCATCACATGTTTTCCCAAAAGGGTAGTTTCTCAAAATAAGAAAGATAGGACAGCTTAAAAAAAAATTAAAAAGGCAGCACATGGCCACTATGTTGCCCAGACCTCCCTTGTAAGTCCCAGACCTGAATTATCTGGCAGCTTACTCAACATCTCCTTTGGACACCCTTCATGTACCTCCCAATTACCATATTGAAAACTGGATTTGTCACCTCTGCCCACAAATTTACCTCTCCCCCTGCCTCTAGGTGAAGCATAGTCTTCCCAACCACCCAAACCAGGACCTGACCATTGACCCTCTCCCCAAGGATAATGCGTCATCCCTCTACAGCATTTCCTTGTCTCTGGTCCTCTTCTCTAGCCTTCCTGCCACCTCCTTTGTTCAGCTCATCATCATCTCTTTCCACTGCAGATGGCTGCAGTAGTCTCTAAACTGGCTTTCTTCCCAGGAGCCTTGCCCCTCTCCAATCCAACTTGATCTTTCTATAACTAAAATATGATCAACTTACCTATTACAAATCATTCAATGACTCTCCAGTTCCTTCAGGATAAAATGCAAACTTTTAAAACTTGACATACAAGACTTTATCTTTTATACAAATTTCCCTCACCTGGCTTGGGAACTATGCCTTTGGCTCTCACAGCCCACCTGTCGTGCTCTGGTAATACATAATGTCTGTTTGCATGCCTGACTCTATCCCTAAGCTGGAGTTCCTTAAGAGCAAAGATACTGCAATTTGATTCATTCAAACACCCTTTCCAAACCCTTCATGCTTGCTCTCCTGTTCAAACTGAGAAGCTAAAATTTTGCTTGTGAGACTTCCTCGAAGCTGGGATAGGATTGTGATGAAGGTCCCATCAAGCAGATACGCCTGTATGAGCCCTCAAATAGATGTGAGCAATGAAGATGGAATATCCTGGCAAATCTGGTGGCAAAAGCTAGTCCTTCTGGGGCAGATACAGTTGAGTTTCTGAGATCCAGTCCCCAGCTCAGGGTAGTTAAAGCAATGATGCTTCCTCTAGAGTATGTCCTTAGTGTGGTTGATCATTTTCCTTGGTTCATACAGTTCTCAGCTGCATTGTTGCTGTTATATAAACAAGAAGATTGGACCTGGTCCTTCTCAAGATTCTGTAGCTCACAGAATCTTTTAAAAAGCTATCTTTTTAATAATAAAAACTCTTTCTGCCTAAATTGGTTAAGGGAGTACTGTTGTCTGCAACTAAGCACCTATTAATATGGATGATGTCTAATACATTTGTGTTTATAGTATCTAGTACATTGGCTGACCCATATAGTTGCCATGTATTTGTTTGCTGAAAGAATGTTTAAATGGATATATATATATATTTTTCTGCTTTTGGTGTGCTCATTGTATGATAAGGGAAGAAAAAAAATTTACTAGCAAGTATCTAGACAGAGATAAAGGTCACATGAGATAGCAGGAGAGTGGTATAAAGGTGAATGTTTTTGGTGCTTTCTGGATACCTGATATTGAGCTATGTCACTTATACACATAATCTTTCTATTATTTTTGTTTTTGTTTTTTTTTTTTTTTTGAAGATCTGGGGATTGAACACAGGGCCTCATTCATCCTAGACAAGTGCTCTATAAATAAAACACATCCCCAGCCCTTCTTATTTAATTTTAAGACAGGGCCTTGCTAAGTTGCCCAGACTGGCCTTGAACTTGTGATCTTACTGTCTTAGCCTCCGGAGAAGCACATTATCTCTTTTAACTCTCATTGTTATTACTCTCATTTTATAGGTTAAATGATTTGCCCAAGGTTATAGAGTTACAAGAATAGAACTCATACTCAAACTGAGCTCTCTCTAATGCACTAAACAGTGTAGACTTTATCCCTACCTTAATAAAAACCAATGAATGGAGCTGGGCACGGTGGCCCACACCAGTAATCAGGAGTCTGAGGCAGGAAGATCACAGGTTCAAAGCCTGCCTCAGCAAAAGGGAAGCACTAAGTAACTCAGTGAGACCCTGTCCCTAAATAAAATACAAAATGGGTTGGAAATATGGTTAAGTGGCTGAGTGCCCTGAGTTCAATCCCTGGTACCAAAAAACAAAAAACAAAAACCAATGAATGTTAGACACTAATATTTCAAAATTGTTGAGGCGTAAGGATTAGAAAAGAGGAGCCTGATTGGAAGGACAGGTTAAGAATCTAGAGGAGGAGATGGGGCTGTAGCTCAGTGGTAGAGCACTTGCCTAGCTTGAACAAGCCTTCATTCTGATCCCTAGCAACCCAACATAAATAAATATTAATTAATTAATTAATTAATAATCCAGAGGAGAGATGGTAAACAGCCCCAACAAGGCAAGAGTAGTGGGAATAGGGAGGGCTGAATGTATTTGAGAAATATTTTAGAAACACAGACTCTGTAGATTGTTCCTTCGCATGTGGCAGGGTTGAGGGAGCGGCCGAGGCAGGGGGCTTGAGCAGCTGAAGAGAGGGCGCCATTGGCAAAAATAGGAACACAGGTGAAGAAACTGGTGCCTTATGATTTGATGCCTTCAGAACAATAGCTGGGAGGTCACTGAGCTATCCATTTGCCCAGATCTGTGCTCCCCATGACCCTGGAGCTAGGCCTAGTGCCCTGGGGTGCCTTGGCGGCTGTTCAAGCATGACTGGAATCTGGCTCAGCATGAGGCCCAGTGAGCACAGAGCCTGGCGTTGCTGCATATTTAAAATTACTTGTCAGGCCAAGGAGCGACAGACAAGAAAGGCTCTGACGGGGGAAGGCAAACATGCGCGCTGTTTGGTTCAATAATTCAGCGCAAAGCCTGTCTTGGCTTCAGAGTTACTGTCACAAGGAGAATTTTAAAAGTCAAACCCAATTTCCGTGCTAAGTCATGCCTGGGCAAGCTGGAGAGTTGCCAAAAGACAAGAGAAGACTCCAAACCTCTTTATAAACAGGCCCTGAGAGATACAGGGTGCTGTTGGATAAAGCTGTCAGTCTGGTCTCAGCAGCCAGGCACGTGACTCGTTTGCATATGTCACTTCCTTCAGCCTAATCCAGTCCCTGGGCCCCTAACTCCAAATCCTGTGGGCAAATAAAGCTGTCCAGCACAAGCTGCTACTTCCAAATTCAGGCTGTATTGATGCGGAAGGGGTCTGGCCTCACATCCCTCATCCTTAGGCTGCTCTGGACCACCTGACTGTCCCTCTAACCAGAATGAAGCTCCTCTAAGAGGGCCATTTCAGAGAGCCCCAGGGACAATTGGGTTGCTGGGGCTCTGTTAACCCTCTGTTGTCAGCTGCCAAAGCCCTTGACTCTGGAGGGACTAGTGGAGACAGCATGGTTCCTCTCCACCCAACCTGGAGGGTAAGCCCTGTGTGTAGCTGTCTCCTTGGAGCCCATCTCACCCTGATTTGGGGTCGATGGATATGCAGAGAACCTTGATGAGGTGCTTGCAGCCCTGCCACCCTGCCAGGACAGGGTACTGATGCTTGGCGAAAGCAAGCGGCCTGGGTGGGACTGGATTCACACCTTTTCAGAGTCAGAAAAGGCTGCTTCCATCAGGAAGAGTCTGAGCTGGTGCTCCAGCTGGGCTAGGCTGCTTGGCCTGCCTAAGGTGCCATATCCCAACTCATCCACAGCAGAGCCAGCAGCTCGCAGAAACGGGGGATAACAAAAATATGTCCTTTCTTTGAGGTCTGGTGCAGCCCTGCATTAGATGCCAGGGTTGGTGGTCAGGACACAGACAGGATTTCAGCTCCCACCTGCCCCTTCTGCTGGCTTCTTTGTGCAGGCACTGGGGACCCAGCTGTGGGCGGGGGCCCTGCCCATGAGCAATATGCCAGGGTGTGTGATGTGCCAGTTGGTGAGCAGGGTTTTAGAGACCCTTTTGCAATTTCCTCTAACAGCCACCATTATGTAATTCAAAATAAAAACAATACTGACTCTTTAAAACACAAACTCACATAAATGCTGAAACTAAAATGATTTTACTTGAGATGATTAGACTGCTAAACATTGGTATTCTCAGTGAAACTGAACATTTTTTCAGTTTTGTGGAAGAGGCCTGAGTAATTAAGTTGCTAAGCCAATATTTAGGCTGTCGATTGTGCAGTCTGCCTCTGCACCCGGGACCCACAGCTGCTTCCTTACCCTGCAAGCCGGTCTCCCAGGCCCCAGGTACCATCCTCTGTGTGCAGAACCCCTGCCACCTACTTCCTCGCCCTCCTGGATGCTTCTGGATCCCAGCATCCTGCAGGAGGAGACTGTCAGAATTGGCTATCAGAGCTTGTCTGCTTTCCACTTCCCCTCTCAGACTGGTTCCCTGAGTTTGGAGGAACTTTCTGAACTTAAACTTGAGTGCCCTATCCCAGGAGTGAGGCAGTTTTCCCTGTGCTTTACATTCAGAGCCCTGATCTTTTCTAACTCTTTCTGAATCCCACTTCCAATCTTCATGATCACTCAATCACTGAACCACATCCCCAGACCCCCCCCCCCCTTTTTTTTTTTGTATTTTATTTAGAAACAGTGTCTCACTGAGTTGCTTAGGGACTTGCTAAGTTGCTGAGGCTGGCTTTGAACTTGGGATCCTCCCTCTTCAGCCTCCTGAGCCACTGGGATTATAGGTATATGCAGCTTCCTCTTGCTATTCTAACTGGATGTGTACTTATCCATCACATTTGGAGGATCAGGACAGTGGAGGAAGTCCAGGAAATCTGACTCCTTCATGCTGTTTGGTGGCTTTAAAATAATATAAAAAATGTTCATCATCTCTAGCAATTAGAGAAATGCAAATCAAAATCACTCTAAGATTTCATCTCACTCCAGTCAGAATGGCAGCTATTAAAAGAATACAAACAACAATAAGTGTTGGCGAGGATGTGGGGGGAAAAGGTACATTTATACACTGCTGGCGGGACTGCAAATTGGTGCAGCCGATACAGAAAGCAGTATGGAGATTCTATGAAAAACTGGGAATGGAACCACCATTTGACCCAGCTATCCCTCTCCTCTGAATACCCAAAGGACTTAAAAACAGCATACTACAGGGACAGAGCCACATGAATGTTTTTAGCAGCACAATTCACAATAGCCAAACTGTGGAACCAACTTAGATGCCCTTCAGTAGATGAATGGATAAAAAAAAAATGTGGCATATATATACAGTGGAATATTACTCAGCAATAAAAAAGAATAAAATCATGGCATTTACAGGTGAATGGATGGAGTTGGAGAAGATAATGCTAAGTGAATTTAGCCAATCCCAAAAAACCAAATGCTGAATGTTTTCTCTGAAAGCAGGAGTCTGATTCATAGTGGGGTAGGGAGGGGGAGCATGGGAGGAATAGAGGAACTCTAGATAGATCAAAGGACTGGGAGGGGAAGGGAGGGAAGAGGGGGTTAGCTAGCAATGATGGTGGAATGTGATGGACATCATTACTTAGTACTCCTTCCTTCAAGAGGTGGCTCTTGATTCTTCTCCCCTAGAGTATGGCTGGACTTAGTAAGTTGCTCATTGTGAACAGAACATGGCTTCTTTCTTGTTTTCTCTTGCATCTTTCACTCCAGGGGAAGCCAGCTGCCATCCTGTGAAGACATTCAAATGGCCTTGTGGAGAGATACACGTGGCAAGCAACTATGGCCTCCTGCGAGTGGTCCGCATGGGGCAGCCATGTAAGTGAGCTGCCTTGGAGCTTCATCTTCACTCTTACTTCACCCCTCTAACTCAGGCCCCTGCCAACCCTTCAGACGACTGTGGCTCCTGACAACGTGTTGAGTCCTGCTGAACAATGACCCTGGACCAGACCCATCACCCAGCCAAGCTGCTTCTCAAACTCCCACTTGGTAAAAGAATAATAAATGGTTATTTTAAGCTGCCAAGTTTTGAGGTAATTTGTTATGCAGCCATAGATAACTGATACATCCCCAAAGACGAGACTAGGGAGGAGGAAAGGAGAGGTGTCAAAAAACAGCTTTCTGTAGAAGGAGCTTCCATGTCATTTAGTACCCCTTTCCTCAGAGGAGATCACATTTTAATGACTTATTTATTTCTCTCTCCTAGATGAACTATAGCCCCTGAGAGTAAGCATTGTGACTTACTCATCTTTAGTTGGGCAAAGTTCTAAAGTTACAGGCTTGAAGGTGGAGGCAATATAAAATTCTTTATTTTTCTATTATTCAGCTAATATCTATTTGGGGTATCTGTTCTGAGGGTGGCAGAAATAGCAAATTCTGGAACCTTTTACCTCTTAGATCCTATTTTGCTCAGCTCCTTCCATGCCCCTTTTGGGCCAGGGGAAACTTTTAATGTCCGCTGCACCCTGAAGGATATAGGGCATTCTGCCAGGCATTCTCAGGCCTGCTGGGACTATGAAAGACTTGTCGCAAAAAAGGTTGGCAGATCTTGTCCCTCAAATGACCCACTTGATCCTCTTCCCCAGAAAGGAAGCTCAAATTCTCCTCCCCCAACCCCCTGCAAGCTTTGAACTTACCCCAGTGCCCCTCTTCTGCTTTCTTCTTCACTTAGTTACTTTCCTTTAGGAGCAGAGACATTTAGAGCCTTAAGGGTGTGTGTGTGTGTATGTGTGTGTGTGTGTGTGTATGTGTGTGTATGTGTGTGTGTGTATGTGTGTGTGTGTGTGTGTACACGTGGCTTTTGAGCTTTGCTAAAATTATAAAACATTTTAATATCCAAAAAATCAAAAAATAATGACACCTTGGTACCCACTGACAAGGTTAAACAGATGCTAACATTTTACCATGTTTGATTTAGACCTCTCCCTCTTAAAAAATTAATTAACCACTATAGATAGTACCAAACACACCCCTTTCTGTCACTGCCTGGAAGTAAAGCGGAATTGTTGTTCATCTGTCTTCTGTAGATTCTTGCTCTATTGTTACTTGTTATGTGTTTTAAAAAGAGTATCTTCTATGGTTATCTACATTTTAAAAGTTCTACATATGTGGTTTCATGTTGTACATAATAATTTGTTACTTTCCCCAACTCCATATTATGCTTATTTCCCTCATTTGAAGGCAATGGTTTATATATAGCACAATGCACTCTTGTTTTAAGTGTACTTCTGCCTGTTTTGACAAATGTATCCATCATGTAATTAACCACCACAATCAAGATACAGAACAGATTCATCACCCCAAAAAGTTGCAATCAGGACCTTGATTTTTGACACATATATACTAGGCTCTAGCAAATGGGAAGCCCAGCCTTGCTTTTGAATCTCAAGAGGTTTTGTCTGCCTGTTGGTGATGTCATCCCCTGCCTGAAGCAGTGAATGCCTGGGAACTGAGGGGGAGTTGACTGGAGGCTGCTGGGCAATTCACCAACAGGAATCTCAGTTCTTACCCCCCATGGAAGTCCTAATGCCCAGCCAACCGTAGAGCCACAAGAAAGATTGGTCAACTAGTGAATGAATGAATGAATGAATGAACAATTTATGAGTAGAAAGTTGTTCTTTTTTTCATTCTTTTTGAGAAAAATGGATCATGATTGATTAGTAATGTCTGTCTGAAGGACGGCTGGAGAGTACAAGACAGTAAATAAAGTCCTGCATATTTATCAACCCTGACCTCTGCCTTTGGTGCTACCATCTTGCTTCTTCAAGATGTTAGGGGTGCCCTGCTGTGGCCAAGAGTCTTCTTGCCCTCCCAGGTCTAGTTTCTAATGGCATCTCACAGCCATCTGACCTAGCAAGAGTCAAGCATCACCAAAGAAACTTCAGGGCTGGGCCACTGGTCCTCAGTGCTCTTCCTGTTCCTTTGGTCTCCAACTGCTAGGAAAGGTAGGAATTCATTGGAACCCAGGGACAAATACAGATGTCCTGCATTCCCACCTCTGATATTGCTCAGCACACTCTTGTAGGCCCTTCCTGGATTATGAAAGTGTCCCCTCCAGGTCCATCCTTGCTTATGCCTGTCATCATTCACTCAAAGAATCAACAGCTCATTGGGCATTCCCCCATGAGAAGAAATGAATTCACTTGGACTCCTAAAGTAGCAAAATGTCAATAAAGGACTCTAAAAAACTGTTAACTATAAGACTTAACCTTCTCAGCAAAGGCAATCAATGCTTCTCTCTGCTTTTCCTCTGCAGCCTTGGGAGCTTTGTCAGCAACTCTGGCTCCCAGATAATACGTATTTTCAAGAGAAAAATGGATCATGATTGATTAGTAATGTCTGTCTGAAGGACGGCTGGAGAGTACAAGACAGTAAATAAAGTCCTGCATATTTATCAACCCTGACCTCTGCCTTTGGTGCTACCATCTTGCTTCTTCAAGATGTTAGGGGTGCCCTGCTGTGGCCAAGAGTCTTCTTGCCCTCCCAGGTCTAGTTTCTAATGGCATCTCACAGCCATCTGACCTAGCAAGAGTCTGGATGCTATCATGGTGGTGGCATTCTTCTTGTAGCTACGTTGAAAAGATGGATAACAACAGTAGGTTGGCTGAGTACTCCTGCAGACCCTCAGTGCTGGAGGCAAAACAATACAGATGTCTGAACTGACCTTCAGTTCTCATTGAACATCTTGGCAGCAAGTCCAAGGGTGCTTTTATTATTTAGCATCCTGACTGAGCATGCACTAGTGTGAGAGAATGAGCCACATGGGTCCCGCCATCTCACTGCTTCCTGTGATAAAAGAAGACAGGTCGCCTGGCCTTGGGAATTCTAAGTTGCAATGGGGGAAAAAAAAAAAAAAAGCAGTCCCAACTCAAAGCTACTTTACTATCACCTGTGCTGACCCTGTTGGAATAAGCTGTCCATTGATGGCTTGTTGATGTTTTTGCTTCTGCTAACTGATCAATCAATCAATCAATCAATCAATAAAATAAGCAAGGCAGGATCTGTGGGGTTTTAAAAAAGAACTTCAGAAAGCACAAAACAGAGCCCTTTCCCCTGATCTGTGAGGCCCTGGTAGGTTTCTATCAGTGTTCAGTGGAATAAAAAAACAACCTCTGTACAAAGGGTATGACTTTACTCTGCAGAGCTGGGAAAAGATGGCCCCTGGGGAAGGGGACATATGGGAAACAGCAGTCCAGAAAGCTGCTGAGGGCCAGCCTCTGCTGATCTCCAGCCCTCACTGCAGATCCAAGCAGCCTTGTTGTGTCCAGATTGCATAAATATTGAATAAGGCTGCTGGGAAAATTAGATACCCTTAAAGGAGTAAGGGAGAGGAAGAAGAATACAGTGCACAAGATGGTACCAGAAAATGCTGACCCTCAGCTAAGAGCTACTAGAAAAGTCAGCAACAAAAGGATGAGAATGAATCCTATCGGGCGCAGCTTCTATTCTTGGCTTGGAACTTGCTCACGTACTGCTTTTAAGGTATACGTTGTGCAAGAATTTGACTGTCTGGGTTAGATCAGCCAGCAGGAAGAAAGCGCTCATCTCTTGTTCTGCTTTCCTGAAGTTTCCTCCTTCAACTGGAAGTACAGGGCATTAACTTGAGCTTCTGGGTCTTTCCTCAGTCTCCTACACTGTGGGAGAGCTTTTTTTCCCTGTTCCTGGGACAAATAGTCTCCGGGGCCTTAGATGGGTAGGATTTTCTCCAAGGGAACCCAGATAGTTAGGAAGCCTCCTCTGACGTCTCAAACTTGGTCCAGGGCCCTCTGTCTGCATCCACACAAGCCCAGTGCTCACATCCACCAGAGAACACAGAGCACTGGCTTAAATGTGTGTCTCTATCTTCTACTGGACTAGAATGGCCGGGGCACGCTCAGTGCCTTCCTCACTGTTATATCCTCAGCCCTTTGCTGAAGTGCTCAAACAATGTATTGAATGAATGCATGAAAAATTGAGCAAGGACCCTCCGAGTAGGCCATGTTGAACACATGTTCTTTCCAAGCAGACAATTCCTATGAGGTGCTGGGGATGGAACCCAGGGTCTCGTGCAGGATAAGCCTGCTGTCTGCCACAGAGTACACGCCCAGTCCTCTTCTGAGTTCTTATTCTGACTTCTCCAGGCTAATTGCTGACACCACCCAGGAGATGAAGTAGGGATGCCCCTCCTGCAAGGGCAAAGCCCTGGATTTTCTCATCACCCCTTTCCCTTCTTAGTGGTGCCCACTGATTCCCCAAGTTGCCTGCCCTGGAGTGTGTGCCACATTCAGGAAGCCAACACAAGACTCTTCCTGGCAGTGCTGCCAAGCCCTTTTGAAAAGGGTGGTAGGCCTGTGGTCAGGCCTGTGACATATAATGATTTCTGCTATATGGTTTAGGGTGAAAGTGTTTCATGAGTCTGACTTTTTAATTTCTATCACCATCATTGGCTGCTTTAGGCTCATTTTCTTTTGTCCTTCTTCATACTTTTCCTGACTTATTTTTCTTGCCAAAGGCTGAGACACCTCTCTTTCTTGTTCTGTTTTGTGAGTTTTGGGGAGAGCTAGGCACTTTTGGATCAGGGCCCCTAGGTTTCCAGTTGAAATTCCTTGTGATTTAACCCCATAAAGCATGCCGTGGGCCCTGTCCGGAGCCTCCTGGGTTGATGCTCTGTGTCCTTCCTTGCTCTCTGTTCTCTATCCTCTTCCCTCCTGGGAGCACCATGCACTGAGTACACACATCAGGGTCTCACAACCCCCAGGCTGGCCCTCCACAACCCCTGCCCTACAGTAGATCCCTCGCTCCACCACATCCTCGCCTGGGCCTCACATCAGGTCTTCTGCACTCTGGCTGGGAACGCCCTCTCCCTCCAACCTGTACTGCTTCCGGGTCATTTGCCATCCTGGGTCTCCCTTTGGCTCACTGTGCTTTGGGAAAATGTCTCGTGGTTTCCAGTTGTTACTTTCTTCTTTCCTCACTTCCTCTTTTAATGAGAAGGCCTTGAGAAAGCGAGCAGGAATTTACCAGGAAGACCAAGGGGAAATCTTATT